CCCCCCCCCCCCTCACTCTCAAGGTGATTTTAATGCACCGTAGCAACGTCCCAGTTAAGCGTCGCATAGGCCTGCCATGTTGACTGTGCAGGTTGTTTGGGGATGATCTGGAACAGCATGTTCAACCTCTTATGGTGGTCTCGCCATACACCTCCATATTGCTATCAGTCTGCTCGAAACTCTAACGGGTCTCAATTAAGGAGATATTTTATCCATTTTTTTTCCCCACAATTGAAACAGTCCCCACTTCTGTTTATAACGTGTGTGACATGCTTTTCTCAAAGTAGCCCAACAGTCAAGCATTGTACCTCTCGCCTTGCTGAAATTAGCCCGTTGCAGAGGGCGACCTTATCTCATGAAAGTAAGCGACTGGACAGCCCTCCCCATCCAATACTTGGCCAAAGGTGAGTTTAGATTTTGTGACCATGATGACAAGGGACTGCTCTGAACAGGCAAGGATGCAGAGTCCAGAGTGTTGCGGAGTGTGAAAAAAAAAATACCAAACGTGACAAGAGAACTACGAGGCGTAACCTTGGAGCGTCGAGAGAATTGCACTTTGGAACGAAGTCGTGAGCTCGGCCAGTAATCAGACACTTAAGTTGTCGTCTTGATAGTCCTTAAACAAAACAGAACATGACAGTTACAGGAAAACAAGGGCCTTATTTTGTAGACGTCACAAATGCACAAAGGCCCAAATGCCGGCGCATCCTGATTTTTGTTATCAGCTCAAGGCTTATTGCGTGTTTGCCATTTTGGCCACCGAGCTGGGAACGCCGGCCCAGCAGAAGGAGTGTGCTGGAAATGCCAGCCAGGACAGACAGGGGGTCTAATGGGACAAATTTAATTCGGAATTACGCTCTGGGAAAAATGCGCTTCGAAGTTTGTCAATCATTGTGTTGTATTTTTTTCAGTCATTCCACTGTGCGACACAGCTAGGTGGGGGCACACGAACAAACAGTCGGAGGTTTAATAATCTTAGTATTGATGTGCTTCCTCCGTGCAAAACTCACAGCAGCAGACCTCCCTCTCCCAGAACCGCCAGCCTTTACTCGTCTATGAAATTACCAACATCAGGTCTAATCCACGGTTAATGCCGCGCACAATGCGGGATTTACTCCGGTCATGAAAATTGAGCCCTCAATGTGACTGCTTTGAATTTTTATTTTTTTGCAAGGTAGCGGGTGTGTGCCCATGACGAGTGAATGACATTGTAAAACTGTCACGTTTTAATACACAAATTAAGGACAGGATGGCTCGCCGACCGATACATTTTCAAAAACGGGGGGAAATCCTTTTCAATGGTTATTTAATTTCACCCTCTAAGGGTGTGCAGGCCCACCACAGAGCCAACGATTTGTATACATGCAATTTAAAAGTCAATATAAAAATAAAAATTACATTTTTCATCTCCTGGACATTAGCAATATTGAGTCCCGAAAGTTTGAGTTTATGGTTCCTCCTGCTCATCCTCAAAAGTGTACTGCATGGCTATTTTTGTCCAAAGTAGTACTGTATTTAGAAGCCATCCAAAAGAAGAACGGGTGATTAATAATTGATTATTTTGCAATGATTCCAGTTAGGCGTATTGTCGGATCACATGATCTGACACTTTCCGACTGCAGTTTTGTCCTTTCTGACATCGACATTTACTTGATTTTCCTTAGCTTTGAGCCAAAGATTCTGACAGAGGAGAGCAATGACAGGTCTTCCATTTTTCAAATAACGAATGAGTCCAATCTTATTTCTTCTTTGTATCCATTCCTAAATGAGAAGTTTGATAAACACACTGGAAAAAAAAAATCCTTCGAATTTACTTGATCCGAACATGTACATTGGTTACGCACGTTGAAAATGTAGTAAACCGATGTCATTTTCCCATGTTTATGTATGTGTTTGACACAATTTAATAATGTGCAGCTGAAAATCAGGTACTTTTTCTCGGTGGAGCTGTGACGATGCAGGAAATATACACGGTAGGTTTCACAAGTTTTAAATATTTGATTTGACTTTATTATGCCCAGTATAATCTATCAAAGGGAAATTCAACTCACACTTTGCTGTATATTTTGCGTTTCACATCCCAAAGTGGTCGAGATCCCCCACACTGTTTGCAGGCACGCAAGGAGAGATGTCAGTGTGAAATGAGTCCACAAACAGTGCTGTACCTCTTGAGCTGCGGAGTAGGAAAAGTTCCTTGCTCAAGGGCACCTCACTAGTAGCTGGGAGGCAGTTGCTATTTATACATTTGTCCCCTGCAGGCCATGAGCTGTGTCCCTTTGGCTCCATCGCCCAAGTCCTAAGAGGTGAGCTACTGCTGCACAAATGATATCCATCCATCCCTCCATGTTCAACACCCTTTATCCTGAACAGGGTCGCAGGGAGTTGCTCGAGCCTCTCCCAGCTGACTTCAGACGGAAGGCAGACTACACCCTGAACTGGTCGCCAGTCAGCCGCAGGGCACGTATAAAGACAAACAACCATTCACGCCCACATCCACACCATCTCTGAGTGGAAACCGATCTTAGGCTGCCTGTGCACAAGTCAGGTGAGTGTATCACTACACCATCAGTGACTTTGCCACAATGATATTGAATCTAATACCACTGGAACCGTTACAGTTATAATAGTTCCCCTGTGATATATTTTCCCGCAAAAAAAAAAAAAAAAATGGCAACAGTCGAGGTGTTCACTGCCCATATTTGCGCAAATACTCATATGGACAAATGTCGTGTTCATTATTCCAAGCAGTATTTATTTAGCTTAACACTGGTTGCTGCTGCTACTGTTGTTGTTGTTGTCGTTGTTGTTGTTGAGCAACTTTCAAATGGGTCTGACAGTTGCTTCGAAAGCCGTTGTGTCCTGGGTACCCGAAAACCCAGTTGTTGGTTGTCGATTGATTGATTGCTACTTATTTCCAATGAGAACTATAAAGCTGTGTTTGTATGAATGAAAGCCTTTTAATCTCTGCCATGAGATAAATGCCCCCGCTATACTATATGAAAAAAAAAAACGTTTAGTTGTGATTGTTGCATAACATTCAAAGGCACATACGATCTACAAGGTGGTGACCAAGTATTTGTATGATGTCCCGGAACAGTGGCATCTGGAATAAGAAGCAGAGAGAAGCTTTGCAAATCAACTTGAAAATCTAAGATCGACACAAATGGGCAACCTTCAGAAGACACCCCTACAAAGGAAAGTGAGTACCGGTAATAAAAAGGTGAACGCAAAGGTTGGTTGGCGAAGAAAGGACAAAATTGGTTAGTTAAAAGTCGCCTTGGAAACAATTTATTCAAGTGTTCTAGGTAGAATGTTTCAAAGGGGTGGATGTCTTAAAACCCTTGTGCTGCAGTCGATGTAAATAATTTTAAATAGTGCAACATACGACTTTTACAAAAATTGTAAAAGTATTACCCTAAGTTATTCCTGAATATTTTTTTTACTTTCAACCACTCAAAATGTTCAGTGGCATCAGCGCTATACATACACATATAGTTCTTATTTTTTCTTCGTATTTTTTGCCCTCTATGGACAATAAAAGCGGTACTGTGCTATGACCAAAACATATATATATATATACAAAAGAGCGTGGTTTCGTTTTTCGAACAATTTCGGTTTTCAAACAGCCTTCTGGAACGGATTATGTATGAAAACCGAGGTTTGACTGTATATATATATATATATATATATAAAAAACATACATTGGAATATTTCATATCACATAACATTTATGCTTTGCCTTTGATTTAAAGATGACAACACGCAAAAATCTATAAAAATTGTAGAAATTGTAACACGAGGGTAAGGGATTAAAAAGGTTGAATTGCTGACATTGTATAAAATCCCGTTCTACATCAAAATGTGAGTTAAAGGAAAAAAAAATATTGCATGTGGAGAACTACCACACGGCGAGATCAGTTGTGATTCTAGGTACACACAGCAGCAGCAACCAACTAGGTATTCAACAAGGTCACTGATACATGTCCCTGTTTTTTTTTTTTTTAATCCATCCATCTGTTTTTGATATCACGGGTATCGAAGGTTTCATGGAAGAGCTGTTATGATGAGCAGCTGACTTTGGGTGAGACATGAGGTGCGCCCTGCTGGTTGCAATGTGACTAAAACAGCATGCAGTCTCTTAAATGGGAGTTTACCCCATTATGACAGGGTGATCAGCAATTTCAGCAAAGCATGCAAAATATTCAATTTGAAAACAGAATATACATGATCACAACAACAGTTTTCATCAAATAAATTGTGGATAATATGTCCATGTGAAAATGATTTTTCACACGTGTGGGGGATGCCGAAATCCTGTGCATTTAATGAAAAAAAAAGTTATATACTGCAACATGAAGGAAAGAAATTCTAGAGACTTTATTATTGCACTGGTATGCATGAAAATGTGTGGCCACAAGGAATCGTAATCAGATGTTCCAATCACTTTCATTGACAATATTTTTCGCAATATGGTATGGTGTATAATAAGACCTCAGAGTTTCATTGTCGTGTTACATTTTCATGATGGAGTGATTCTGATGAAGCCACCAAAGGCACTTCATAATGATATTGACCCACTGGTCAGTAGCTCTAAACTGGCCGTCGTTTGCGAAGTTAAGCGGAAAGGAGAGGCCAACGGCACCTCGGGGGCAATGTACTCAGGAGATAAGACCAGAAAGCAGGATACTTGAATGAGTCATTGAGCTACATACAGTACATGGATCCCTCACTTTTCGCGGTTCATGGGGATAGAGGCCACCCGCGAAAGAGGAAAATCCGCGAAGTAGGTACCCCCCCACTCCCTGTACAGGTATATGTACTGTACATGTGTATGAGTATATAAAATATTTATAAGGCCAAATCTAATGCTATACATGCATGTAGAAGTATATGTTTGTAATAATTAACATTGCGTAATGCTATATGCTAATATATATATATATTAGGGTGGTCCACATTTTCATGGCAAAAAAAAAAGTTTGTCGGATTCGTCGGGCCGGGTCGGAATTCTTGTCGATACTATGGTACAAGGTTCTGTGCAAAATTTCATTCCGATCTGATGATATTTTCCTGTCCCGCAAAGCGGCCAAAGTTTCCACCATAACAACTGGTCTCAATAGGGTGAACATGTGTATTTTAACCGTGCCCTGTTTGCCATGCGTGACACTGGCTGGGCTGAATGTTGCCCGAACAATCACCTCCTGACTAACTAACCATTCCATCGCTGCTCTCAGCAGTCGGAGACAAACTCAAACGCACGCCTAACACACAACGGTCACCTACTGGCGAGCTAATATCTTTCAATTGAAGTCGAGAATCGCCGGAATTCTTACTGGACGCTGAGCTGAGGACGCTTTTCGACATCGAA